CAACTTGGGGAAGAGTTTTGATGATCCTGGAGCTCTAGGCCAAACATTTGGGAATAAAACAACAAACTCAGGAGACATCTGGTTCTTGCTATTTGTTTATAATGATCCTTCATAAATGAATTTTTAGAAGGTCTGAATTAAAATACTTCACCATTATGTTACCACTGATATTTCACTTGGAAAATGAAAACTACTTGTGCAGGGTGCCCAAAACACAATACAACCAAGTTGGAAATATGGAAGGATGGCTGCTGGGAACACATGCACAGTGTGGTGCAGTGGAAAAGACAGCACCAGAGCCAGGTGGTTTCCCACTTCTGCCATTTACTTTTTCAGTATCCATAGACACCTCAGCCATCCTCTTTGTGCCTGTTTCCCATCCATAAAATGTAGAACTGTTGTACAGACTGGCAATAACCTGTCTCAAACTGCCTTGCATAGTGCTTGGTACACTGGAAAGATTTAATAAAGAAGACATATTATTTTCATGGTTTGCTGAATTTTTGACCATTCAGGATATTTTGGTACTTTGAGACAACATGCAGAAAAGAAACCCAGTCAGAAGACTTAATTTCAGTGGGAGCAAGGAACACAGGCTTTCTTTTGACATCTAATTGGTTATTTCACCCCTACCCTGGTGCATTTCCTATTCCCTTCCTCTTTTCTGAAACTTGTAGGAGGAAACATGGGATGGTTTTCTAGGCCTGTGGTCTAGGCCTGGAGAATGCTGTCCATTGTGGTAGTCTACACCAGGTAAAGCCTGAGGGTTTAATAACAGTTATACTTTTAAAATTGCCCATACCAAATGTTTGGCTTTGAAAGACTATAATTTTGCTGATAGCCTCAACATCGTGTTTGGGTGAATTTGTGCTCTGCATTGGCAGAGCTGGAGAATTTCCAGGGTTCATGTTGATTTACACAGTCTCATTGTACATTTCTATCCACGACTCCGTTTTTAGCAACAAAATAATTTTAGGGAAAACTTGTGAATTTCTGAATGTAAATCAGGTAATTTTCAGGACTAACTTCAAAACTGGCTAAAGGATAGACTTAGTATCAGTAGCACTTCAGTAGACTTTTGGGGGAAAAATCACTTTGTCACTGTCCATCCCAAAATGGTTCTTAAGATGATAACAGAAAATATTAGGAGAAAAGAGAATGGAGAGATGTAAAGATGGATTTGTGCATTTGATATGATAGACAAATAGCCTTGAATTGTGCTCTAAATAAATTGGTGTTTTTAACTGAGCAAAACTTTTTGAATCATACATACTGTTCCAGAAGTTTGGGGCAAATCACTGTCCAATTTTTGTCTGAAAATTGTAATTGTCACATACCACAGTATTCACTGAAAATCTTAACGTTCACATTTATATTCTTACATTGTCCAAGTAGGAAAAATAAAGCTAAGAAATGTTAATTGCAAATAAGATTAGGTAGGCTTAAAAGTCACCAAAGCCGTTTTTCCCCACTGCGGATATGTGAACAGATTGAATTTACTAGTGCATATATTTACTCTGTGTATATGTGTTTTCAAAATGTGCAGGAAAAACTCCATCTGATGAAGAATTATTGCTGAGAAAAATAGAGGAGAATCTCATTGGTCATGTCTATTGACAGGCACTTTCAGCATTTAATTCCTTTCTGAAGATGGGCATTACCTTATTTCTGTTGCCAGTATAGATTCATTTAACATGTGGCCATATCCACTGCACTTAATCTTGTCAACAGGCGACTATGCCTAAAAGCAAACATCTGGAATTTAAACACCTGTATTTTTTTTTTTTTTGAGAACCACCTTGTTGAGGAGGAAGATAACAAAGAAATGAGAAAAACTGCTAATGTTCATCTTTAGCATGAGTAGATTTCTGTTTTTTCTTTTGCAGGAAAAGACATTACGAGTTTGGAATCAGTTATCTGGAGCAACTTGAAGTGACTTCATTGGGTTTTAAACCATTCTGGCTGAAACCATGGCCAAGTGGCCACTCCATTGTGACAGAACACAAAGAACATGCCCTGACAAAGTAGGACAGAGTTCCCATGGCAATATCGCTAGTTGTGTGTAAGATACACAAGGCATATCTGAACAAGATTTCTTTTTATTGTGATGAAAACTAGAAGCTCTTACCTCCAACATACTTCATCAAACTATTTACAACCTCTGTAAAATTTGCATGTCTGAAAATACTTTTTCCACCATCACATATGTTACGAATACAGTAAAATATCTTCATTCTATTTTTTAAAGATGCAGTATCCTCCTTTTCATTTTCTTATGAAAATCTGAACTTCTATTGCAATTGCTCAATATTTAGCATATTTAAAATACCAATGGACATGGGCCACTAAACAGATATTACTTTATAATGAAAATGTGAAAATATAGCATCTTTAATTTGTATGTACATTTCTTACTATAAAATGCAGGCAAAGTTATATAGTATCATAAGCTGAGTCCCTAATAACTTACATTTCTAGATAGCATGGATTATTACAAATTCTTTCTTTTAAAAAAAGTTTCTTTGTGGATCTTTATTAGATCACTGACTGCTGCATATACAGATGTGTGTACCCATGTGCACGTGTTTGGGGGTGTCTGTCCAGGTGACTGGAAGGCAGTGTGGGGACAAGTAGAAAGGTAGTATGGAAGACATGATTGACCAACCCTTTTTTCTAAAGGAAATCAAGTCAAATTGAAGAGATGTTTATATGAGATGTGCTATCTCAGAAGAACCAAAGGAAGAGACTTGGTCATTGATGTTGCTTGATAGAAAACATTTACCTGGCAGGATTACAGGCATTAGTGAAGAGCAGATTCTGAAAGTGGATGATGAGCTATGAATATTAAGGCTTCCTCGGCCTGTTATGATTCACTGGTCATCTCCAATTCAGTCCCTCTCTGCAGACTGTGGCGTGGATCCTGGTATCCTTAATACTGCTTAAGTTCTGTCAGTTCTTACTGTAAGTGTTAAGACAGCTTTATAACAAAATCACGGCTACATCGCTAAAGCAGTCAGAACAGCATAAACAAAGGCATATTAATACATTTGAAGGCCTCACCTCACCAGATTTATTCAATTGCAGCTTTGGTCAGTACAGATAAATAAAGTACAGAACAAGGAATACTGCATCTTTATCCATATACACATTATCACTCTAATGAACTGATTTCAAAGTGCAGAATTATATTTACGTTTAAAACACAAGTGGCAATTTGAAATTAAAACAAGTTGTATAAAAATGAACACAATCTTTGCATAAGCTATTCCAAATTTCAACCATAATGAAAATGGCCCTTCTAAAACACCTACAACTGGCATTTGTAAACACTGTAGCATTTTGTAAGTTTTTTCCCCCCCCCGGACAATCCATCTTCCTACTTTCCATTTAAACTTTAAAGTGAATAAAAAGTGCTCTTTTTCTTTTTTTAAATGTGATTTATGTTACTGGTATTCACCTGCTTTTGAAGACAAATGTCCTATGTGTTTTGTAAAGGCAGTAGTATCATCTTTATGGTAAGCCATTAAGAATCTCAGCCTAAATGTCTTAATAGAACTTAAGACAAGTTATCAGGCAGAGTCCACACACGAGTTACGTTAGGAGGCTGGAGGTGGGTTGGGAGGTGTGAATCTCTTTCCAAACAATTTAAGATTAGACTATAAGGGAGTCTATTAAAACCTTCACATAACATAACTCCCTTTAATGAATCTCTACAATCAGAGAGAAGGTAGGGGCTCCTGCAGCTTCTTAAATGTTATAGCTATGAGTTTGAAAGTTCCAACCGTGCTCATACCCTAGCTGCAAACTCAACACCTTCAAAGTTCAAACCAAAGAGGGAACCATTGACAAGTCCTTCAGGAGTCTATCCCCTTTCTGTAGTTCAACATACACTGTGCTTTTCAAAAGAGGCTAAAATGCCCATGAGATGGACTGGAGGCTTTTCTAAGCCTAGAGATATTCTAGCTCCTTCTGTTCCAAACCACTTTCCTTTTCACAGGAAACACTTTTAGGAAACTCACCAAGGAGAATTTTCTATGTCCCAAGAAAAGCCCAGAGTAAGTTTCTGTTTCTGGGGCTAGATTAGGGACTCATTCACCTATTTGTGCTTGGATTCCTTCTAAAAGCATTGCTATGTCAAGAGGGGGAAATGGTGTCACACTAGCAGGTCTTATCAGTTAACTTACCATCTCAGTCTCTAGTTTCCACTTCTAAAGGTGAAGAGAAAAGCTCACTTCCCCAAATCTTTCCTATGTTATCAGAGTGGTACAGCCCATTTAATTCTGTGCTAAATTTAAATGAAGCTGTCACTCAGGAAGCTTGCACTGTTTGTCAGTTCAAGAAATTCTAAAAACCATATATTGTAATACTCTTGAGATAGTTCTCAGTGGAAAAAAGGATTGGCTTTTCTTATGAGCAGGCAGAAGGAACTCAAATCTACACTCCACTTAAGTGAGTCCTCCATGACCTGGTTCTGCGGCTGGTTGGGGTAGGGGGTGGTTCATCGTTCATGACTGTGTTTGCCCGACTGTGTTATTTCCCATTGACCAGTAGATCTGGCATGTATAAAGAACCCCTTTCTACTCTGAATGGTCACAGGCAATGAGAAGTAGGAATTGCATACAGTACAGATAAAAATATTCCAGTTGGTAAAAAACCCACTGGCTGGTGGGTAGCAGATTGTGTAGCTGAAGAAACTATTTATCAATAGAACTGCAGCCCTTGTTTTAGGGAAATTGCCTGATGAATTTTTTAGACCTGGAAGAAAATATAAAGTACATATTTCTTGAAACCAGTATTTGACCTGCAAATCATTATACTATTGCCTGAACATTTATTAAAATTCCTTTTAATACTATCCAACACATATCATCTTTGCTGCAATGTTCATAGCTCTTTCTTCATCAGAATAAGATTATCTGAACAAGAAGATGATCCTAAGAAGGATAATTCTGTTACCAGAGGTTGTTTCAGAATGTTCAAACATTTAAAAATGAGCTAGGAATATTGTGAGGTTAATTTGTGCAATTCCCCAAATCAAGTGTTTATAATTAAAATATATTGCAAAGGTCATTGCTGGAGACCTTTTATATCTAAGCTATAAAAAATCCTAACAACAACAACAACAACAACAAATCTCACCAAGCCCCTTTGCCACGTAAAGCTGGGGAAAAAACCCAGCTTTTTGTGGGGAAAAATATGGTAATTTTTGTGAAAGAATGTTAGTTTGGTGATGTATTGCTCTGTTTCCTGTCTACTTTGCATGTTTTCTAGTGGCAGAAGGCCCCTAGTTTTAGTGGTCAATGGAACCGGGACTCTACTTCAGTATCCTACAGCAAGTTCACCATCCCTGCAGATAGATGCTAATGCAGGACCACTGGGTCCCAGCACAGTTTAGAAAATGAAATTGTGGAGAAGAACCTACTGGAGAGTCATTATCCTGGGCTCTCCAGAAGAGGAAACTAGCACCATGGTAGGCTTTCCATGGGGACACTGCCTTTCTACCGACTCAGGTTCACGGAGATCTGACCCATTAGCCAAAGAGTTAATTCCTGGCTTATGCCTCCCTTGCCTTTCTACTTACCAAATAACTGTTTTCAAATAAAAGGGGAGCATAATCTTTAATTGTGGTACTCAACCAAGCAGGACAACAAACAGCAGAAAGATTACCTCAGAGCTGTAAATGGAACCAAGACGTCTAAAATGCTGGGGTGTTTCTTACAATTCCTTTAGTAAGTATGAAAATTGGTAACGTGAGTCCTCAGTGAAGTTATTGTAGGAAAGTCCTTTATTCATTATTGCTTTGTCCTCAAGAGACTCATTATTTCCATCTCTGCTTTGTCTGAGTTTTCATGTTCACTCACTTTGCCTGGGCAGCCCCCACTCTTACCTTGGTGCCAGCGTGTCTAAGAAAGTCCCCTCCCCTGCCCTGATTCCTTGTAACCAAACACTAGGGACAGGAAGAGATGATGCCTAGGTGACAGAACACTGCAATTTGAAGTGGGGCAGTAGTTTTTTTTAGACAGGCTCTTCCTATTCAACTACAGAACAGCTCTGTGCCAGTCCATACCAGGACAGACACCAGGACTAGACTTCAACTGAAATGTGGCTGCTCCTCTGCTCAAACAGATGAACAAAACAGAACAAAAACAATCAACGACAAACAAATGAAAGATTCAATGTCGGTTTTCTTCAGGGCATGGCATGATGACAAGTGGCGAGTGATATCTAGCGGTTGCCATCGCTACTGCAAAGGGCTGCTTGAGTGTGCCTTTATTTTCAGGTAATGGAACTTCTCCAACAGCTTCTTCCTTTCTATGTTCATGCTGCTTGCTGGTAACAGACTGGATGTGTGTTCTAGCTTACTTAGATAGGAACTAAAATTTTGTATAAAAGGGCTAAGGTAGGGGAAGGGGGAAGGGATGCTGGGAGAATCATCCAAATTTAAAAGGTCTTGCTCTAGCCATCAATTTGTGGTAGATGACCTTTAAAATATTGATAACAAAATGTCTGACAGCTCAGAAAATGTACAAGCTACAAACATCTCTTAATGGCAGAGGACACAGCACGGAAAACAATGCCTGTCTCTTCAGCATTTGTGGCACTGAACTCCCAGGCCAGCGTGAAGACATCTCTCTGGAGTCATGATGGGGATTACCTTCAGACTGAAAGGAAAAGTGTTCCCTCTTGTTCCTGCTCTGCTTTCAGACATCGTGGGATGGTGATGCCCTTTGCGTTAACACTGTGAAGGGGGATTCAGCCCTGCTGAATTGGGTGCCTCTAAGAGATCCAGCTCTTACGCCCAGCTGGTCAGGGCGCCTTCCTCACACAAGCATGTGCCTCCGACGGTGCAGTGCCAGGTGATCTGACCGGGAAAAGCTGCGGTCACAGTCCGCACACTTGAATGGCTTCACTCCCGTGTGTTTCCGGTAATGCCTCGTCAGTTCATCTGAACGGGCGAACTTCCAGGTGCAGCCTTCCCAGGTGCACTTGTAGGGCTTCTCTCCTGGAAGACACAAAGGCACACAGTTGTGGTCCTCCATCACTTTTCCACAACAACCAAGCCAGGATTGTGTGCTGGGAATTGTTCTCAATGAGTTTTCAATTTTGCAAATCTTTGTCAGGAAAGCTCACCATATCACTGGCGGGTTTAGGGTCAGACAGGTGAGGGTTTCAATCATGTGACATGAGGTAAATGAGTTAACCCTTGCATTTCAGTTAGGAGGAGAGATTTTGTAGCCAAAATATCAACGGGAATAGATTGATTGCCACTGGGTACACTCACCACTAGTGGATTAAAAAGAGCTCTACCAAGTGTGATCTGGCTCTAAGTCTGGGAGCCACAAACAATCCTAAGGGTACTTAGTTAAGTTTTGTTTTATCTGCATCACTTAGATGCATTAAAGGCTGTTTTAGGTCACATGTCCATTTATTAGTCACTGAAGGTATGCACAAAGCTTCTAAAAAGCAAAGCACTCCAGGACCTTCAGAAATCAGGCACATATCATTAGTAACATTCACCTTTTATTTCCACTGGGAAAAAATCCTAGATACCTTAGTGTAAAGGGTAAGTACATTTTTCAGGGCTGGAAAATTAAGGTGAGCCTGAGGAATCCCCAGATAGTGCTGAAAGTCACTGCGAAAAGCAGTTTAAGAAGTGCGTAATTTGACCAGGCCCCTCAGTCAACTTGCAAGGACAGTACAGAATGTAAAGGCTGTGCTGGGAAGAGATTAACTATCCATGTCCAAATGGGCTCCCAGGGGGAGCAGGACAATAGTTGACCCAGGTGCACTGTTTTCCTGGCTCTCTTTTAGAATGAAAGCCCTGTCCCCATACAACCCCATAAAACTGATCTCCTTCTGCCCCTTCCATCTGATTGCCTACGATGAATTTCCTAGCTGCACAGGGCTCTGGTTAAAAGAGGAAAAGGTGCCACTTGCTGATCACTAACATTTGGAGCTGCAAAGTGAGTACTGTTACCACTTTACAGAGGAGAAAACTGAGCCTCAGTGTAGGAAAGTGACTGACTCGAGGCCAGCAAAAAGACATGCGTGGCTCTGAATCCAGTACCTTTCACCACATTATAGAGGAATGAATCATTTTTACCCTATCTAAATGTCACATTCTCAGACAGGGATTGCTCTACTTTTTAAAATATTCTTAAATAGTTTATTTCCTATTGCCATTAATTTGATATCACAACATTCCACAAAGGTTTTGCTTTGATGACTTTCTTCTCTACCAGTTGCTGGATTGGAGGTCAAAGAACATACCTTTACTATTTCCATATCCCCAGAGCTTAGAATAGGTCCTAAGCAAGTACATGAATGAATAGAACTGCAGAGTGCACACACACACACATGCGCGCGCACACACACACACACACACACACACAGGAAACTACTAAGCCCTATAAATGAGATGTACAGGTAATGCCTGCATGGGAAAACTAGACCAAACTAGACTGAACAATTTTCATTCAACTGTTAAATCAATGTTGTCTGTATGGGTCCTTTTGGGATCAAGTGGCCCTTTCAGAAGAGAGTGAATAAGCAGTTCAGACCCGTTCAATCTAGAAATGTTGATGCACTAATTGTGCCTCACAGGAAGCCCTAGGTTACTCTGAAAGGATTCCTTTCAAAGAAAAGTCTTCTGACTGGATTGAACCAAAACCTCAACTTCTAATTCATTCTGGTTGTTTCCAGGAGTGAAAATCTGCATTTCCAAGTGTCTCCTGACTAGCAATTGAAAGAAATTAAACAAAAATCAGCAAAACCTCCAACTTCCAGACTGGAAATCTATGATAAAGGTATCAATGGCAATAAATGACATGCTTTTTACATGTTGAATGCCATCTCTATGTTTCTGAAATTTGTACCATGTACCATGAGAATGAGTTTTACTGTTGAGCTTGACATAAATAAATTAAACTTTTCAAAAACACTCCCATCTCTAGTGCACTGACCTGGTTGACATCAACAGGCATCGTCCCATGCTGTGATACAGTCACCCACAGAGAGTGTTAAGGGTGCAGAAGGAAGGAACAAGAGATCTTCTTAATGGGCGAAAAGCCTTGCTCAGTTATGTGTGCCTCTGAAGTAGAAAGACTGCTGGACCTGCCCTTAAGCAGCAGAGGAAGAAGCTCTGAGACTGACAGTCCGAAGATGAGTAGGGGCAAGAGGAAGCAGGCAAAGCCCAAAGCAGAGACAGGCTATCATCTTGACTGCTGTGTAGAGTTCCTTGCCCATCCAATTTGGGAACAGAAAATTCTCTAATTTATTCCTCACAGTGGTAATTGTCATACCTTCACTTTTATTTTGGTAAGGGTTAGTCAACAATGGCTCCCATATTAAAAATTTTAAAGGTTGAAAAAAGATCAAAAGAAGGATGTTTTATAGATGAGAAAACTATGAAATTTAAATTTTTGTGCTCATATAATAAGATTTTATTGGAACATAGTCACAATATTTTTTAACCTATCTATATCTATCTATCTATCTATTGGTTAAAAATAGTTTTGGCTATTTTCCAGTGAGGGCAGAGTTGAGTGGCTCTTTTGCTTTTTGCAGACTTCTTGACTATGTTAGTTTAATGAACTGGAGTGTACATTACATGTTGTTAGTTTGGGATGGGGAATGAGGGAATATTTTGGTTGTGATATAAATATTCTCACCTTATGACCATCAATTCAAATTTTAGAAGTCCTCTCAGTAATAAACATTATGATATTTCTCTTATTATTTTTCACTTTTCAAAATAAGTATTTTTTGTAAATCTGTTCTCTTTTGTCATGAAGCCACTGGGGAGACAGTTATGTATGAATTAAGTAATTCTCTTTTAAGCCAAGATATACAAACCACCATATTTATAGGATACCTTTTTTTTAGTACTGGGGATTGGACTCGGGTAAGCGCCCAGCCACTTTAGCCATGTTCCCAGTCGCCATGTATGTACTATGTGATATTCAAACCAGGTTAAATATATGTAAGTCCTCAAATATTTATCATTTATCTGTGGTGAAAACTTTCAAACTCCTTTCTGGTAGCTTTCTGAAATGTACATTATGTTATGTATTCTTACTCACGTGTGCAACAGTGCACCAGAGCACCTTGCTCCTACCTCACTGTAACCACCCATTAATCAACCTTCCTCATCTCTCCCTCCTTCATGCTCTCCCTGCTCCCTGGTTGACACCATACTTCTATGAGAATAATTTCTTTATGCTCTACATATGAGCAAAATCATGTCGTATTTGTCTTTCTGTGTCTGCATACATTAACCGTTTCATAGCACATAGTTTAAATTAAGAGCGCTGGACAAGAGGAAACGAGTAACTATCTTTTAAGACTCATCCAGTTCTATCTATTTTTTTCTTTTTTTATTATATTAATATGTGTATACAATGTTTGGGTCATTTCTTCCTCCCCCACCGTGGCTCCCTTCCTTACCCCCCCTTACCCCCCCAACCCCTCGCTACCAGGCAGAAACTGTTTTGCCTTTGTCTCTAGTTTTGTTGAAGAGAGAGTATAAGCAATAATAGGAAGGACCAAGGGTTTTTGCTAGTTGATATAAGGATCAGTTCTATCTATTTCTAAAATATCTTCAGGATCTCTTCTGCTCATTAAAAAAAATACGGTAACCTAATTTTTGAAGGTGAGGGGCAGAATGGTAGACGGGTCAGCAATGCCTCTCTAGACTTTACTTGGTAACCACAGGCAATGGTTCCATGCAATGATGCAGCCCTATTCCTCCTCCAGCTCCTTCAAACACAATGTGTTAAAATAGCCACTGTGAACCACAATGAGGTAACTTATTCTACTGAATCTGGGAGAGGGTTTGGGAAAAAAAAAATCACAGAATCAGAGTTCAGATGTCTGAAATCCTTTCTGAGATGGATATTTTAAAGGGAGAGGGTAGAGAAAGTGACTGGCAGCAAGGATTTGTCTGAACAGTGCAAAATTGAAGAACAGCCTGTGAGGTGTGGTCAAGTACAGTACAGAACAGACTTGGAAATACAAGAGGCAGGTACTCCCTCTTCCTTCTAAAAACCAATGAAACAGACACACAAGCTCATAGGAGGGTTAGGTACAAAGCTTGCACGCCTTCTCCAGAAGAGGGAAAGGGGAAAGCATATCAAAAAAGAGCAAATTTCATTATCTGAGTCATAAATGACTTTCCCTGGCAGTTTTCCTCATAAAATATATAGTTTCGTTATTACTATCTAAAACCCAAAAATCTTAAGCATAATACTTATTGTCCCTACTGCCTCATTCATAAAACTGGAATTTAAGCATGATTCTTCTATTAAAAAGATAGGAGGAAAAACAAAAAGATGACCAAACCTCTCTTCAAAATTAGAGGCTGACTGGTTGGGCACTAGGGGAGAGAGCCCCTTAGGCAAGGAACTGACTTCTGCCCTCATTCAAAAGAGACCTGGCTATTGACTGTACCCACCCAGAATCCAGCATTTCATTAAAAAAAAAAATCAGTAAGTCATTAAATGTTCTCTTTGGACTAGTCAAGTTTTAGAAATGGGTAAAAACAGTTTTTAGTAACAACTGCATTTGTTTTTCATATATAATGTTTATGCTGATGCTTTGAAAGAATTTAAGTGGTACAATCTTATGAACACATTAAGATAACCAGAATTAACTTCACTATGGGAGTAAAAAACTAATTAAAATGATAAGTTTGTAAGCTATTTAAAAGTATATAATAAAGAATAGAATCTTGCATGTCTGTCTGCTTTCCTTTAAAAACCTGCTAGAGAACAGAAGGTTAAATTTAATTTTTAAAAGTTAGTGGAAGGGACTGAATGGAAGGTGAACTTTCCATGAAAATATTCCTATGGAAAGAGTTGGCTTGAACAATAAAAGGAGACAGGCACTTCTCAGGACCAGGCTGCTACTACAAACAGGCTTTGTACAGGGATGAACACTGGTGTAGTAAATAGGAGTTCCATGAAGTTATTTAGGAATAGTCAGTTTTCCTTGAATTCATTTGAG